CCACCAGCCCACCGACACCGAAAGCGTTGCGCGCTCCAGCACCACCTCTCTCGCCCTGCCACCCACGTCCCCACGTCCGACCAGCGAGTATGCTCCGCCAACCTCCCGTCTCTCGACCGCTACCCTCCCACCGGATCGCCCGACCTCGCCGCCTGTCCAACCTGAGAATGCCCGGACCAAACGCTTCAGCATGTTGAAGTTTCGCAACTTCTCCGAATCGCATCTGTCCACCCGAGCAAGGGAGGATGCCGCAAGAGAGGAGGTTCCGCCTATGCCGGCGCTAAGCAGAGGTGAGTTCTGTCGTACCGCGTCGGGTCGGGTATCCGTGAATGGAGGCGCTGACAATGTTCAATTCCAGTTAATACACCTGCCATCGTGAAGACTGCGCCGACATTTGATCACGAAGTGCTTACTGCCGAGCAGAATCGGAGTGCGCCTTCGACGAAAACTTTGGAAAAGACCAAAAGCATGGCTTCTGACATGTCGCGATTGTCGCAAGATCACGCCAGAGGAAAGGAAAGGAAGGAAAGGAAGTCTACATCGAAATGGCGGAAGTTGCAAGGCAGGAGCACTGGCTTGGAAGATTTGCAGCGACTGTCCGCGGCGAATTCACACAAGGACGCTCCTCCTGCGTACGGAAACGACAACGATTCAGAACTGGCCCTTCCTGCGCCTCGTTTCTCGGAGTCTTCGCGATCAAGTGGAAGCCGCGGCAGTTCTGGCGACCATCAGATCTACGGCAGTACGACTACGACGACTCACACAGTATCCACGCACACGACATTCTTTAAGCTTCCGCGAAGAAACAAAAACCGCAACTCACTATTCCCCTTGCCTGTCAAGATACCATCGCCCGACGGGAGTCAGTCACCGAACGGACCCGCAACGCCTCGCGCATCGACGAGCGCTGTATCGATCAAAAGCCGACAGTCTACCGATTCACGAAGCGAACCTGCAACAACACGTTTCAGACGACACACCGAAACGAGCCCGACCAGGCGACAGGCCCATCAGAATCAGCTCGCATCGTCTCCTCACACGAATGCTTCAAGCTCTCTTGTGCTGTCCGATACGGGGAGGCCTCTTGAACGCGAAGAGACCCAGTGGTCGCGCGACTCCTCCTTCTCTTCACCATTGAGGCCACCGATGCGATTTGGCTTGAGGGACCGCGCATCAACAACGAGCTCTTGGGGACGCGGGTCGATGGATACAGCCCAAGCGGGCGGAAGTGGGAGAACTTCAACGTCAACCACTGGAAGGGCCAGTCTTGGTGGTTTCTTGGGTCTGTCCCGCTTTCGACAAGGCTCGGAATCGCAATCGCCGCGAACTGGGTCGCCTTCGTCTAGGAGCAAGTCTAATTCGTTCGCCTTGAGTAGAGAAGCGTTGGTAGTGCCTGAGCGAGAAGAAGGCGACACACCTGGAAAGTATCTTGAACGACTCGAAGCTGCTGTGAACCGAAGCATGATCGCAGAGATCCTTTCAAAGTCCTCAGATCCATTCGCACAGGCGGTGTTACGCAGCTACACCCGTCGATTCCCCTTCTTCGGCGAGCCAATCGACATGTCTTTGCGCAAGTTCCTACTCGAGGCCGACCTTCCCAAGGAGACTCAACAAGTCGATCGTGTTATTCAGGCATTCGCCGACAGATATCATGAGTGCAACCCTGGAATCTTCATGTCATCGGACCAGGCGTACATTATAGCATTTTCGCTCATGATGCTGCACACGGATGCATTCAATCGCAACAACAAACGCAAGATGCAGAAGCAGGATTACGTCAAGAATACTTCTGGGCAACACGTTAGTGAGGATGTCCTTGGGTGTTTCTACGACAACATCTGCTATACACCTTTCGTACACTACGAGGAGGAAGTGGACGTCAATGGTGAAAGAGTGCTTCCTTTCACGACGAAGAAGAGCAAATTGAAAGGTGCTATCACGGATTCCGGTAAGAAGGTCTCTGGCCCGGTCGACCCGTACAACCTCTTGGTGGAGCAAAAACTGGATCTCCTGCGGCCTCCAATCAAAGATTCGATACTGCTGGAAGATCCGTACAACTACACATGTGGCCAAACACCACTTGACATGCAATACCTGCAGCGAGCTTTCACACATACCGGAACACTCCAAATCATCTCCGCTCGATCACGGCCAGCGGCATACGAAGGCCAAGTCAACACTGCAAACCCACATGCGGTCGAAACCCAGCAAGGAATTGTCGATCTCAAAATTACCAAGGTCGGAACGCTCTGGAGGAAGGCAGCCAAGAAAAAGAAGGCTCGTTCGCCATGGCAAGAGTGGGGCGCAATCCTCACAGGTTCACAGCTGTACCTCTTCAAGAACGCTTCCTGGGCAAAGGGCCTGGTGCACCAATTCATGTCCCATCAGCGACAAGGTGCCCCGAGAATGCCCGTAACGTTTTCACCTCCACTTACCGACTTCAAGCCTGACGCCCTTATCAAGACCGACAACGCTGTCGCTCTTGTGGATTCCACGTACCAGAGACACAAGAACGCGTTCACATTCGTCCGACCTGGCGGCCAAGAGGAAGTTTTGCTGGCCGACAACGAGGGTGAACTCATTGACTGGATTAACCTTATCAACTATGCGGCAGCCTTCAGAGCTGCTGGCGTGCGCATTCGTGGCATGATCTCTGGGAATGACGAATATTCCCGCTCGCGCGACCTCCACCGGCCCACATCTGCACACACAGCTACGTCTGCAACTAGCGAAGTCGCTGGCAAAGGCTCCGGCTACGATCAAGGACTCACCCGTCAAGTCATGACCGCGAGACGGCAGATCATGGTGCAGAAGATCGGAGAATACGACAAGGAGATCGCCAATCTGCAAAAGCAACACGATGACATTCTACGCAATGCTCGCCATCTCCTAGTACTTGCTCCTATCCCGCCAAAGACGCGTGAAGACATTGTTGTTGCTGCTGGGAGGAGCGATGCTCTGTTGACCTGGGTTCGCCGTGACATCTGGAAGATGAGATGCCATCGTGACATCCTGTCACTGGACATTCAGCAAGACGGCGGTGATGCTGGCGACAAGCTGGTCGATACACCAGACACGGCGAAGAAGATGCCACGGATGAACTCACAGGTAAGCGGGCGCAGTCGCAGCCAACCACAAGGCACAAGGTCGCCCGCCAAAAGTGAAAGATCGCCTACCAGCATGCGTCCAAGACCCTCAACCACCGAATCCATGGATACCTTTGTGGACGACGTCTTCCGTAGTACGGTCGAGAGTCCATCTTCTCCAGGTGGAGACGGTTGGCGCCTGCCTCCGCTGCAGTTTGACGTAGAGCAGCAGCAAGACAAGCACCGTGGATCCATTGCTAGCACTCTACTCACCGCCGCATCCGGCACTTCGCAAAGGCAGCACAGCTGGTCAGCTTCTTCGACCTCCAGCCGACAACACCACCGCCTGAATTCGCCAGACCGCTCGGAAACCCTGCACACCATCACTCGAACTCTCAGCGTTGGCGGCGAGGATTCTAACCAGGTGCCGCAAGAAGAGGTCCGCACGCCTGACTCGGCGATCCAGCGCACCATGAACCTCGACGGCGTGGCATCTACGCCCGAAAGCAACAAGACAGCCAAAGGCAAGCGTCGCAGCTTGCAAAAAACTCTCCGCGACGTCCACCACAACAGTTCAGTCTCCCAGCGCCACCGCCGCAATAAGGAGAGCGAAAGCACAGTCCGCTCAGCCGAAGCCGAGAACCCGGACTTCCCAGAAGCCACCCCCGGCCTCGAGCGCGCCCAAGGCCGCTTCATCCTGCACGGCAAGCAAGCCTCCGTCGTGCAATTCGGCGACGACTGGCCAACAGAGCGCATGCGCCTGCGCCGCGAAAAGTGGCACAGAGAGCACTCTGAGCCCGCCTCTCCGGGCAAAGAAGACACCAGAGGTCCGACCAACTTCATCCCCGGAAGCCCTGTCGTTCGCGATCTCGTCACGGATGGCACAGAAGACGACACCGCTTCCACCACAACCGGCACAACAGAGAGCTTCTTCGACGCCTCCGCAGACGCAACCAACGCCAAAAGCAGCGACGCCACCGCAGGCGACCAATTCGAACAACCCTACAACCCAACCTTCGACATGCGAAGCGACAAGCGCAACACAGTCATCG